GTAAAGGTTATGTTGATGGGACCTTGCAAATATGCTTGATTTATGAAATATGCCTGCCAGTGCTTTGCAGAAATATGGCAGGGCTCTTGAAATAGTTTCCAGAGAAGGTTTGTATAATCTTTAATATTTAATGATTTATATACTTACTGTACATACACTAGGGAAGACATTTCTAGCAGCTGTTGGTGCACTTTATTCTCCTGAAAAGCTTTTCTTTTTGATGCCTGGCTGAGATTCTCTCCAGGATCATGTACACCTAGTCAGTGGTTTAGGGAGGCCCAGAGCAGCAGCTTCTGAGCGAAGCTGGAGAACACCTGCTGAGTCCGAGAGAATTGGATACTAAGGCTTTGGAAACCTTCCCATTGCCTAGATTTTCATCATCCTGTTTGCTTTCCCTTTCCTTCCCCTGTACAGAGCAAGCAAAGCACACTGTGCTGCGGCGACAACATTATTAATTACTAAGTACTCTGCTAATGAAAGCACATACTTCTATCTCTTAAATTAAAAGTATCCTCTATATAGAAAACTGAATACAGTAGAAATAATAGTAACTGAAATTTCTACATTAGGAAGTCTACTCATTTTTTTCCATGTTGAAATGTGAATACAACTAATGTTCCTGCATTTTTCATTCCCCTTCCCCCCCCTTTTTTTGTAAATTCTGTTTCCTAATTATTGATCAAAGAGATTATATATATATATATATTTCTCTGTTAGAGGCTCATGGCTCTTTTTTTCCTTATTCAAAAATGTTTTTGGAGATCCTCTAAGAATGTCCTGAGATATGAACTGAATAATCAATACTTGGATAAATTAAGTAACAATTATTAAAACTATAAATGTAAGCAATGTGGGTGCAATTACCTATGTTCTATTGTATGTTAAGAAACTAACTGAAATAAACCTATTGTGATAAAAGAAAATTTGAGATGTTTGATGTTGAATAAACATGTACATCTTGCTTTTCAGATTTTTAAAAAGAAAGCTAAAAAATTAATCTTAATCCTCTAATTTAAAAAGGGCTGTCTTCAAAAAAACAAACAAAACAATAATACTTCCTGGGTGACTTGATGGCTTCTGGAATTAGCAATACAACTCACAGAAAATTCCCATCACTGATTTGTTTGTGACCCGGATAAGGTGTCCTCCTGACACTTCACCAAGTTGTTTCCCAATCATACCATTTCTTCTCAGAATATTTCTAAAAATCATTTTTTTGTCCAAACCATTGGAGGAATCATCCAGATGTGTTCTTGTTCATTTCACACATCTCTCCTGGTCCTTTTAACATGAATTAACTCTATCACATTTCCAATAAACAAATAAATAAAGCCTTTCCTGCATTCCTGAAGTCTTCTTTCTCTATAATTATTACTTTGGGAGAATTAGAGCTTCACATTGGAGGAGGTTTCAAAGAGACTAGAAATAAGTGTTTATACTGTAGCATAATCAGAATTAATGCTTACACAAGCACAGTGGTTCTTATGTTTCATGAGAATGCACCTGGGTCAAAATGACAGTGTCAGGCACTATATTATAAGTACTTTGTCCTGTGGGAAGTTGCTTCACCTACTACAGAATTTCAAATGCAGGTAAGTGATGATTGGTATTGTCTATATTTGCTGAGAGAAGGAAAATAGGGGGAAATGTATTTTTAAGATGTCTTGCATTATGTGGCAGCACGTTTCTTGCCATGCTCACCCTGTAGAACTGAGACGCAAAGTGGTGCTGTACATCCGAGCCTGATTCCTGAATAACGTGCAACTTGTGCTTCAGCTGGAACATCTCTGTTCTGCTTCTCTGGTTTTACACACCCACTTTCACCAACTGTACATACGTACCTTCCTGTAACAACCTTCCTAACTTACGTTTGCCTTTTATGGCACAGCACCCCCAATAATGTTCCCCTAATAACCCTAGTTTAAGTCATTCCTATGCCTTCCAGCCACTTGAGCATTTCTATACATCTGTTAGTATCACCTTTCATGTTTGGAGCAGACCTCTTCAACTGCAACTGCTGCCAGTAGCCCCAGAAAGCTGTTTATTTGTCATTCTTCAAATCCCTAATTCCAGATTTACTTTTTTTTTTTTTTTTTTTTTCTTCTGAAAATTAGGAAGTATCTGGTCGGGGTTGCACAGCCTGAATGGCAGCTATACTGACTCCATGAATTTCATGCTCGCAGAGCTGACATTTATAGGCAGGCAGGGTTAGAAGTCTGCACTGCTGCTGATAATGCTGTAACTATTCTCAGAGTTTTCAATCAAGCCCTTTCTAGGAGTGCAGAGTCATAATTACATGGAGAAGACTTAATAGTCTCAAGAAGGCTTAATGGGCTGATCTAACTTGTGCTGAAGCTAATGGCAAATTCCCATTCTCTTCTTCACAAACTGGATTAGGCCAAATTTACTACCACTTTTGTTTAAATGTAGTCTTTCACTCCTTCCATTTTGTCATCCAAATTTAGTGTGTAGTGCTTACTGAAATGCATTGCTTATCATCTACTTATCAAAGGGTACATGCCTACATGGTCATCTAGAGACAGATCAGTGCTCACTTTTCCTATGCTTCAAACAAACCAGGTGTGAAGACACTGTGCTCCAGGCAGTCCCTATGGGGTGTGCCATGCCGCTTAGGAAAGATACACAAACTGTGAGGGGAAAATGTTCATCTCCAAATAGTTTGCAATGAAGGCAACCACAAAAGCTTGTGGGAATGTGTTTGTACAACTTGTGAAAAGCTTATAGGTCCAGCTGGGAACTTGGATTTTCATTTCAAATTCTGCACCTGAGAAACAAAATTAGGACAGTGTATGTTTCACAAGTGGCATTCTTACTTGTAGTACAATTAACTGTAGACAAAATATATTAAAAAAAAAAAAAAGGCGCTGTAAACAGATGTAACGATATACACCTCCTTTTAGCTGAAATACAGAAATGTGCAACTTCCCAGACTACATGGAAAAATATATATTTTTTTGATAATGGAATGATACTACTGACATCTCAGAACCAAGTTTTGACTTTCTTAACCTCTCCTGTATGAAAAAGCACCATCATCTCACGACATCAAACAGTAGCTCAGCCACCTCTTTTGTACCAAAGTCAGTGTTGTAATGACTCCTGAGCACAAACAGAAATAAAACCATCAAGGCACCATTAATAGTAATTTTCCAGTGGTTATTTATGGGCCTGATCAGCACTGCACATGCATGCCAAATAGTAACTATTCATGCCTGCAGTCCCATGGGCACAATGGAATTGCTTAGAGCAGAACAAGAGTGTTGCTTCTATGTGCAAGGTAATGGTTAACAAAATGGGAGTTTATCTAAAAAAAAACCCAACCCTAAAACAAAACAAAAAAAAAAACAACACCTTAGAGAAGCTATTTCCAGATTATGGGATGACAGATTTATACTTCAGCAGATGAACGCTGCTCAGTAAGAAAACAGAGCAACATAAAATCTGTTTTGAAATAAGTATAAAAACAGTCACTGAGAATGTGACGTTTCCAATCATAGAACAAACGCTATTAGCCAGACAACACATAAAAAACTGAAACAGAGGGACTATGGCAGAAACCGCTGGAAAGGAGCCCATCACCTGCCTTCATGTTCAGCTGCTTTTAAAGCAATCTGCACCTAATTGGTGACCCACCCTCTCAGCCTCCTCTAAAAACTCAGGAAGATAAAATATTCCAAGCTATCATATATGCATAAATAAAAGCTACTTTTCCTCATTGAATTTGTTGTTAGTGAAAGGAAGAAGGATTCTCCTCCTCTGGCTGATGGTTTTGCTTCTCAGCTCTTCTTCCACCTCCTGCACTGGAACCAACCCATCTGAGCTCACCTAAGGGCACCTGGGGTGTGAGAGGGACGTGGCTGCTGCTGGCCTGCAGCAGTGCTGTTTGGGGGCTCTAGACCTGATGGAGCTAGTGAAAATCTCCCCTAGCTTCACTGTTACTGCCAGAGAAAGCTGTGAACAGCAAAGTGTTCATGGCATTATGAGAGCTCATAAAAGCAGCTCTCACTGACTCTCTTTGTTGTCTTCACAAGAGAAAGGGTAAAACCCCTGGTGAAAGTTTAAACCCGAAAGGGATGACGATTTAGATCAGCATTACTTTGAGCATCGCATCTTTTATTAGTTTTCCCACCCCTCACCCGGGAACATACCCCGAGGAGGACAGATTTCTTTGATGGTAGCATCCAGAGCAACCCTTTAAAAGAGCTGCTGAGAGCACTTCAATCGGGGCTAACTTTCCATGCAGCAGAAAGCCAGGCGACGACTTAAGGACCGGTATCAAAGTCCTTTTCCTTCGGTGTTGGAAGAAGAAAGCCTTCCAGCCGGGCGGTGGCACCTTCCCAGCCGGTTGGCTTTGCCTCCTGACTCCACCTGCCGGGAGGACGCCCCGCTACCTGCTGCCGGGGCTCGGCGGTGACCCCACGGCCATACTCGCCCTCCATCACCGCCCCTCCAGGATGTTTAAGCACCGGGGGGCTCGGGGCAGGTACAGCGGGGGACTTCTGCCCTGCGCTGCCCTCACACGATGTCAAGTGGACAGGGGTGGGTTTGGTGTTTTTGGTTTTGTTTTTAATTTTATTTTTGGCTCGCTTTCCTCTGGAGCAGCGTGGGGAGGCTGCGGGCGGCCGGGAAGGGGTCTTTCCCCCGGCCTCTCGTTTGGTTTAAAAGGCTTACATAACTTTTGGAGCCGAAACGGGCATTTAGATGACTTTGCCGGCCGTGTGAATGCCGCGTCCCCCCCGGCTCAGGGAACGAGAGGCAGACACCCCCCCTCACCACCACCACCACCCTCAGACCCCAGCCCTCAGCCTGAGGGGCGCGGGGCTCCCTCAAGGAGGACACACAACGCTGAGGGGGGGGGGACGGCAGGGATCACAGACGCCCCCACCTCCCCCGCGGGGCCCGGCCTCGCCCGGCCGCCCTCTCACGCCCCCCTCCGCCTCTGCCCCGGTCTCGCCTCAGCGCCCCCGCCGGGGGGAGGCGGCGCGGGGGAGGCGCTGCCGCCGCCGCCGCCGGGCGCTCTCCGGCCGCCCCGCTCCGCTCCGCCGCCGAGCCCCGGGGAAGGGGTGGGAGCGGTGCGAGGGGGTGTGGGCACGGCGCGGGCGAGAGGAGGCAGATGCTTGCCTAGGGACGGCCCCTCCGGAGGGGCTCGGCCCTGGGCAGCGCCTCCCGGGCGGCGGCTGAAGCGCTGCGGGGTGTCGGGGAGGCGGCTGAAGCGCCATGCGCCCCTCCGAGGAGTGAGGGACCCAGGTGACCGGAGAGGGACCGAGGTGACCGGAGAAGGACCGAGGTGACCGGAGGAGAAGGACCGAGGTGACGAGAGCGCTGCCACCGTAAGTCCCGGCAACTTCGTCCGCCGGGAAGACCGGCAGCGGGGCGGGAGAGGGGATGGGGAGCTGAGCCCGGGAGGCGTGCGGCTGGGAGAAGGGAAAATAAAAGGAAAAAAAATAATAATGATAAAGAAGACGGGGTGTTGGAGGAGGTCGGAGCCGTGGCTGCCGGCAGGGAGCGGCGCTGCTGGGGCTGGGGGCAGCGGAGCGGCCGCCGGGGGTCGGGGTCTGCCCCCGGTCTGCCGCCGGGGCTGTCGCTGTCACCGGGCGCCGCGGGTGTAGCAGCGGCGTTCGTGGGGCTGAGCGCTGCCGCTGGTGGCGGTGGATTGATGGATGAGGCTATTAGTTGGTGTCCAAGGACAATATAAACGCCTGCCAGGTTTGCCTTTAAATTGCCTGTATTGATTTCATTCTTGCGGGCTTTTTGACGAGGTGAAGGTAGTCGACGATTTGTAAAGGAAAGCGAAAAACTTCTGTTTTATTCTAGTTGCGGAGTGTTATTTGGAACCGAACTGATGAACGGAAGAAAAAATCATTCATAAAAAGAGCAAATACATGTGTATCCTCAGATCTCTTCAAGGCAGCGTTGTCAATATCTAACAGATGCCTTCCTGCTACACTTCTATGTACACTGGCTGCCACTGAACTTAGGGGTAATACCGTATTCCTCGCAGGACGGTGTGCTTCCCTGCTCTAACAGAGTTACGTAGCCTGGCTGAAGGACTTTAGAATGAATTGAGGAAGTCTTTGCATTAATACGCATGTTGTCGTTCCGTAGGCACTGAATCAAGTAAAGCTCTTCCTCCTGCTTCTCTCCCCCTGGGTGCGGGTAGGACAGTGTTCAGGCACAGAACCCTCCTGTCTGGCCGCCCCAGGGCTGCCCAGGGTGACATCCCCTGTTACCAGCAGCCCAAACTGCAGGTGGTGTCACGCCAAAGGGGGAATCGAAGTCGCTCAGAATCCTAAGCATAACTGTGAACTAGGCAAATTAATGCTAGTATTTCCTTTGAAAAAAATCAGACATTTGGCAGACTTTACAAGTCGGTAACCTTTGCTAAGTTACCTCTGCGGTGCTTAGTGCAGTTGTCATACAGTGACACAAAATTATTCTGGAAGTGCTAAAACACGGTGTGTCAGTACCTACCTGAAAGTGTTAAAGTGTGCTAACTTTGTAAATCTTGAGTAAACCATGGCCCTGTTAAGACCAATGGCAAAATCCCAATTAAAAAGAGTGGGTTTCACCATAGGTCTTGATTATCATTTAGAGTGAGTGCCAACCAACTTTGGTTAGAAATTCAAGTGGCAGTGTTTAAATTTGGATGGTGATAGTACTTCTAGCTCTCTGTAGCAGTGCTTTAAAATCCTGAGTGGTAGCCACACAGGTCTTAATACTTTTAAAAATGACTATGTATAATAAACCATTTTGTGTTTTCAAGAGGAACAGGCACTTCACACTTGTCTTATAGTCAAATTTTCATGAGCAGTTCCTCATGAGCACTTCCAGAAAGGATCATAAGCAAGTTAGATTGCAGTTTGCGTATATACCGTATTTTAGCAGAGGTATTCAGGCAGTATATGTTGCTTATGGCAAAGACATTCACAAATAAACTGCTAAATATTTGACTTACTACAGATCATCAAACAATAGCTATATATCAGGGTTTTGTTCTCTGGAGCTCATAAGCTTGAAGGGAAGATGAAGAAACAGAAGCATCATTTCTAAAAACCTTGTTGAAATATTACTGCACAACCCTGTAAGAAGCTAAACAGGCACTTGCTTATATGCAAGTCCTGTCATATAACACTGGAGTGACCAAAATAGCTGCCAATAATTTCCATTAATCTTGTAGAAGCAAATATGGAGGAAGAAAAAGCATATAATACCTTAGAGTTCCTGAAAAGTCTATACAGAAGAAGGACTGTTCTATAGTGTTTTGTTTTGTTTTGTTTTTAAATGATGCATACAGATACAGTTTTTGGAAAAATTAGTAACTAATTGAGCTATGCTTTCCTGAAAGTTGTTATAGCAAGTACCATGGGTTTCAGTTCTGCAAATGCCCACCAGTTCTGTAAGTTAGTAAGCTGGTAAGCTCATTTTTGTCTTATTTCTGATAATTGGTGTTCAGGTCCTAGCTGTTGCCACAGAAGTCAATGTTGAAACTTGTGTTAGTGCTAGCATAGGTCACACCTGGGCCTTCTGGGGTGATCCTGTTATGTGCCGAGAACTTTCAATTCCCATTGCTTGTGTCAGAGTGGCATCCAGGCAGGTCACTGGCCAGAACTACAAGCACAGAATAAAATTCACTCCTTTAAAAAATATTCATGGTAAACAGTAGAGACCGAGGCATCTTGCCAAAGGCCATGCAGTAGGCCAGCAGATGACCTATGTCTGAACATGAGTAGTCGGTACTTAACAAGGGTACACTGAGCTCTATTTAACAGGATTTAGTGTTAATTGATCCTTACATAAAGCTACCCAAAAGTGGATGACCAGTGCCTTAAGGTCCTATGTTATTTCCTTCTGATCTTGTTTATTTCAGTATTAACCTCAATGTTTGCTAGCAATAGCCTGCCAAAGAACAGCACATAATTACATATTGTTTGTTCTGTGCTGTTTTTTGGTCATACACCCACTTTCCATTTGACTTTGCTTTTAGTCACTTCCCAACTTAGGAAGGAGTGGGTCTGGCTGCTGGAAGCCTCTGTATGCAAGCACCATCACAGGTGCGATTCGTGCACCAACAGCCCAGTCCCGAGAAGCAAAGCACTGGTGGCAGAGCACTAGGTGGCTGCTATGGCTGTGTCACTGCACTGCTTCAGGTGGGATCTCATCGTGGTGCCACGTTATAGATGTGGAGTTTTGTATGGGAAACGCTTGCTCTAATATGGGTGCTGTAAGGAGTAGTTTTGGTGCAGAGAAAGGCTCGATGTAAATCTCCTTAAGGGGCAGTTCTCATTCTTCTGAAGCAGGTGAAGTAGCTGTGAAAGATCACATGGCTAAATATCACTGTTAATTATTATTATTATTAATAATAATAATAATAATAATAATCTTGAAGGTCAATAGCACGTATTTTGTGTTGAAGCTTTTTTTTAATGTTTTTAACAGTTATGACTCCATGAATGCCTTTTGATGGTGGGATTTGGCAGGTGGAAAGAATGGAGAGCCTGTGTACAAGACAATGTTTGCGACTGTCCTTCGTGTTGGATAAGATTTGAGCTGGATTTACCTATCAGCTGGAAAGACACGTTGGATTGCTCGTGTGTAGAACTAGCTGATACAATATGCCTACAGCAGTGAGATTGGCCATATCTCAGTTTATCAGCAGCACTGGGCTTGGTGTTCATCCAGCAGTTACACCTAGGAAATCCATGCCTTATGCCAAAGGCTGTATTTATGGGCATGTTTCAGCTGGACACCTTTCCAATTACAGCAATATCCATGGATGTTGGACGAGTCTTACTTCAGGTGATCTGCTGAGCAAACTGATGCCATGCTGCTGCCTCACCAGTGAGCCCATGAGCCATTCAGTTGGCTCCCTGGATTGGAGGTGATTCTTGGTTAAGGATATGGGTCCCCAGGGTGGGGAGGACTTGGGGTTACTGATTCCCCTCTGGTAGAGAGCTCCATTGGTCTGCCTGTGCTGACCTGCATGGGTATACACAGAGACTTACCATTAAATCAAGGAAGAACGAGAAGTTCTGGTATTCAGCCATGAGGCAAAAGAGGAGTGATTTGATATAGGCGATAGGAAATAGCACTGTAGATATGAAACAAATGAGAACAAGGCAGCCTTGGATTTTTTAAAGGTTCCCCAAATGTCTTCTGGCTTAGGATCATGTTGTAGAGAGGCAAACTAACACTGGCTTTTAGCAAATTTCAGACTGAAGTGCTGTAGTCCTGAAAGGCAGGTTACTGAGAGGAGAATCGGCTTAAGCTGTGCACCACAGACCTGGGGAACATGCAGGGAGGAGCTCTCTTGGGTCCGGGAGATGGTGTGATCGTGCAGTACTGGTGTTCTTACCTCTACATGCAGTCCAAAAAAAACAAAACTGAAAAATGAAATTCATGCAAATGCATCTTATCCACTGTACCTTGAAATGATTGCAATGTACCTGTTTGTTTGTTTGTAAAAGGTTTTTCAGTAAAGCTGGTAGTGAATGGCTTTAAAATAAGCTTCTGGACCTTGGCTTTTCCATCATTTATTTCAGTTATACTGGATAAAAGACTTGGCACAGATGTGGCAGAATTGGCTCCTTATACCACGCTTCTGGTAGTCTTTTTGGAAATATACATACATTTCAGCTTCATGTGTCACATTTCAGTGTCACAGTTTCATGTAACACTGTTTAGCAAACAATTTTCTGCTTGGTCATATCCAACAACTTATAAAGAAACTGTATCACTCTGTCCAAGGCTTTTGATGAATGTTACTTACTGTTACTAAAAGTTAGATGAATAATACATTTGATAATTTTTGCAGTATTTTTGAATCCATTGTTTAACTATATTTTATTTATGGTAGCTCTAGCAGCATGTACTTTAAATGAATAGAAAGATATGATATATGCTTGTTGGTGGCTTTGACATGCTAACTTTAGTTTGTGATGTCTTTATTAGCTTGGACAGAAGCACAGGTTAGAAAATTGCTGATATTTAAAAATGTGTGTTTGAAATGCCTTTTTCTTCCTGGATTGCTACTAAGTGCTGAACTACCCATCCACAATTGGAAAAGCAGATTTTTATTCTGTTGTTTTGTCCTAGAAATTGGACACTTCTGCAGGCAATGCCAAGTGAGTTCACAGACATATTTGGAGGTTGCTCGAGACAAGATGAATTGTGTCTTGTCTTCAGGAGTGTCGTCTCACAACTAAGTTGACAATAAAAAAGCCTTCTCTTTTAAATAATCTGAAGTGCTTCTGAAAGTGCAGCATTGCTATTAGAAAGGTGTCAGTGCTCCCCAGTTAAGATTGTGCTGAGATCTACTTGTAAAAGAAAAAGA